AGATCATGCTGTCATTTGCTCTTTCAAAACCTAACCAAGTCATTATCTAAGCTAGCACCTATCGCATCAGAATAACTACCAGTTAACATGCCAGGGGTGAAGATGATATTGGCAGTGCCTGTACAGCACTGCAATAAATACTACAGCAGTTAATGAATATTCATATTTCTTTGAGTGCCTCATATAGCTTTTAATTCAACTTTATAAATACTTTACATACAGCTATAGTTAGTGTTGCTGTTGTAGTGGATTGTATTATACAGTGCCCACGATACAGTGTCCAGCCCAGTGTACATGTTAGTTCAGGCAGGGATTCATGCTCAGGGCAGCACATCCATAACATTCTCCTCTTGTCTTCGTCTTTTGTCAGTATCCATCAGGTTTGTGAGTTCTTGTCATATTAGAGCAAAGAGAAAGCAACGTTGTTGTTGTTTTTTTTTTCAACTGCACAATACGGATTTTAGACAATAACAATACAGTATGTCAAGCAGGGGAGAAAAACATCCGCCATAGCCTTCACTGCTGGGACAAATTCGAAATCATGCATTGTTGAGCCTGGGCTAGAACCCTGTTACTATGAGAGAGAAGTTCAGTAACAGGACATAATAGAGTACGATAAAGCATGGCCACGTTTGTCACTTTGTCATGGGTTCAAGGTAAAGACAGCCAAGCCTGAATGAAAGCAGTGCCCTGATAAATGAAACAACCACTTATATAACTTCAACTACCATCCATTCTAATGGACAGTACACTTATAAAGACTACTGCACCGCCAACATCATATGATTATTTCAAATGTCATAGCGACATGTTCCAATATTACAGGATTTGCCCTGCAGCATTGCGGTGCCGTTAGAAACTGATGGCAATTTAAACCACACAATTGCCATTTGTGAAATATTTTGGCACTCGCCAGCAGGTGAATTTCTTTTACTGCATTAACAGTGATGCAAGGAAGACCAAGAGACAATATGCTCCAAATCAAATTACATGATCAAACTGACATCATATTTGCTGCCAGACATGAAGCCTACTGTGCAGTAACAGAGCCGCTGAGATCTAGCTGTACTTTACATGTGCTTTATGAAGAGAACTGTGATCTTTCTTATCCTGATAGTATATTGTAAACTTAAAGCAACAATGATTTTGGTCTAGATTAATATTGTACTTTAAATGTAATAATTTTAAAGTCAATCTATGTAACTTAAGAAACACCTTTTTTCTTTTACAAATTTTAAAAGTTTAGTTGCACTCATGCTGGTATTACCAACAACTTAGCAAACTAGATATCAGCTGACTTACTCAATCATCTATCATTTTCATTTATCACCCTTTTCTGCTTGTCCTTTTTGACATGCTGTTCAAGGAGCTTTTAGTCGTGTTGAAACATTACAAAGAAACATTTCATCTGTATCACTTGTTTTTTGCAGCAACTATATCCTGATCATCTCTAGTGAGTGAGTTTTAATAGTTACTTGATACTAACTTTAGTAGTAGCATTAAGCTTTTTAAATAAAGTGTGACTAGGGTATATAAAGAAAATGTCTCTTAATCAGATTACATGGGCAGCCTGCAATGGTTCCTCCGACTCTATCACATACATCAGGATTATTAAAGCACTGATGTCTCCTGCAGAAAGCAAAAGTTGTTGTTTAAGAACTTAATGAGTGTCTGATTTATGACTGGAGCCATGTGCCTGATAAATAAACAGCACAGGTGAGAGGCTTTCATCTCACGCAGCATTTTGTAATCAACAAAAGACATTATATTTAAGATTGTCTTTGCGTGCATGGCCCTGGGTATAAATATGTGTCTGTGTGCGTACGTGGGTGTTGATGTGAATTCAATGAATCATTCTTCTTTAGCTGTTTACAGTTATGTGCATGAAATGGCTGATGGAAAATACATGTGCATCTATCAAATTATAAATCTCCAAACATTTAGTTTCTGTATTTAAACGTCATCAAGGAAGCACAAAAGGAAAACACACGTTGTCTTAAGATGAATATGTCCCTGTAATACAAACCTGCGCTGTTAACATTTTGCAGAGACACGTGACTGGTTACATGTACGGTTATGTGACGCGCATGCTTACATAGCTTTCTGAGGAGTGTTTAGTATTGTCATACCCCTGCCGTAGAATCAGAATGAGATGGTATCTTGTGCAATGCAGCCAAGTGAGTCTTGGCTGCATGGGATGAGAAAGAGATGAGAAACTTTGGCAGCTAATGCATCAGCTCGCTCAAAATGAAGCCCAGCCTCATCCAAGAGCATTAAGATGTGGATAAATAAATAAAACATTGCCACCATGAGAGGAGAGGCAATGTGACAGCGGGATTTTTTTTTTCTGCTTTCATGTTGGCAGGCACAGACATTTTATTTTGGGATGAATCAAAATTTCCTGAAAACGCCTGTGTCAGGTGTATCTAATTATCTGACAGCGCATCCTCATTATAAAACGGCCCCTGGGAGCCGGCTACTCGGCTTGCCGAGCCTTGGACCGCAATCAAGGTGTTCCTCGCAGTGAAAACACAGGGGTAATATAGCCTCTTCTCTTCAATATTTCTACTGCTTTCACATTTTTTTTTACTGAGAACTGGGCAATATTTGCTCTTTTCTCACACCGTGCACCCCTGTATTCCCTCTAAAACATCGTATAAAAATATAGACGGTAGTTTCAACAAGGACAAACTGTATGCAGTGTGCGACATCCAACAAACATGTATCTATAGTACGACTTTCTGAGAAATACGCAATGCAAAAGAAGAAAAAAAAAACAGCTCTAAATTTATTAGCAGCTGTTATGACAGCCCCTTGCCATCTCAGCCATGCCCCGATTATGTCACCTGGATGAAGTTTATAAACCATAATTACAGCTTACTGCTGTTCCTCTCCAGGGAGGTGCAGCAGGCTGAAGAAAAGTGGGTGTGTTGTCAACATGGTTGCACTAGAGCAACCTGTGTTAAAGCATAATTAATCAGGGAAAAAGATTTGCAGAAATGAAGCTATCTAACGGCTGGCCGTGGCTCTCGGGTGGGGGGTGGGGGGGTCACTGTGGAGGCGCTTGTGCAACTGTGAGCAAGCAGACCTGTCTTCCCCGCTTACTACTTCTAACCGTTGCTCAAATCTCATCCAGCAGTGATTGATGCGGGCCTGTGAGTAGTTTTGGGAGGATCACTCAGGAAATTTGCAGGATGTTGCTAGTTTATAAAATGGCAGTGCTGCTGTGGGGTAAAGGACGGCGGGGCACATTCTTACCTGGGACTAATCCTTGAAAGCTTTTGCAAGACATTCACGGCCTGACGAGGAATGATTCAAATCCACTTTTGTGCTCAAACTGTCTTAACACGTGGGGATAACTAGCTTAAAGGACTGCTGTATTCCAATATTTCATCATGTTGCAATTTATTTTGCAAGCAATTGAAAGAGGAGGAGGATGTGTATTTGTCTAGTGTTGGTGTTCCTCTTGGATTTGTTTTTCACATTAGTGCTGACAGTATCATATTTAAATATGCATTGTTTATTATAGATACATAATCAGATTGTCCACAGTGCTTCTATATTCCTTAATGCATTGCAATTCAAGATAGATAGATAGATAGATAGATAGATAGATAGATAGATAGATAGCTGTGCTAATAAGCTCAGCATCAGCAAATTTCTCATCCCAGGGCGACATTAATGAAGCAACGCTAAAGCCAGCCTTAATCACAGTCCAGAAAGGATACCCCTGTCTCAATAACACTGACCTCACAGCACAAAAACAACTTAATATTATAAACATCAGCAGTTATCATAACTGAAAACTAGCTGAAGTAGATTATTAAGCCATGTGAGGGTGTTCTTAGGTGTTAAATTCCTACTGCCCTCATGTCATAGCTTCCTGTCGTTGCCTGTTTCCCATTTAGTTCTTTTTGAAATGCAACAGTAGCCTATCTCTTGCACTGCCTCATGACTGGCAGACCGTAATGCTATTACCTCTCCTCAATGGTCATGCTCACTTAGCCCTCTGTCACTCTACACTAGCCAGGGAAGACACATCTCTCTGGCTGTGTGAGCTGTCCTTGCCCTCATTTGCGATTGCTTCTCCTCGGCTTGGCTCGCTACAAAATACTGAGGCACACAAACTTTTCAGTTCATTATCTTGCCTTTTAGAAGCTTTCCACTTTTTTTTTTGCTTCTCGGGGCTGCAAAGTATGACTGCAAATCACGGGTAATTGGCTATATATGAATCACTTGTCAGTAGTCTGACAAATACTCTTTAACGCAGAGAAAAGGGTTTTATAAATCATGGAATTTGGTAACTTCCAAATATAGCTGGCAGTGATGTGAGGGGGATAAACATAAAAAAACATGGGCCCTCTGCTGACACTCTACTGCGCATGATCCACCGTCAATCACCAGTCAAATCTGACATCAAAGCCTGTCAGATAACAGCAGCAAAATGGGTAAACTAGGTGAGTCACAGCCCACCCACCGTCTATATCACCTGAGTCAGGAGCCCTTGGGCGCGCACTCACGCACGCACGCGCTGGCACATACATCCGAACCAAAGACAACCACAGTTTTCCAATTCAAACATCTAACCAAACTTTCCCAACACGTCCTGGAACTGACACACGCAAATATCCCACACGCTTGAAATTGCGTCGTGCGTTCCTTGCGCATCCGGCGGGGCAGACCGCCGTGTCTTTGGGGCAAAGATGGCTCTGCACAGTGTCTGTTATAAATCATGACGATTAAAAAAAATCTGTAAATATCTCGCCACCATCTGGAGTGGAACGGCGAGCAAGCAGACCGGTGCGCGTTGTGCGCTACATTATCCATAACACGGCTTCCAGATATGCAAAAATATGCGCCCTGGGCACCTACTCACATCGCAGCACGACTCAGAACTTGGAGTATACACCCAAGCCAACACTTAATTCCACACATAAAAGCATGACAAGCCGCTTTAAAACTGCAATTCACAGAATTAGAAGATGCAGAAAAAAACTTACTATGAACCCAGGCGGTAGAATGCAAAGCCCCGGGAACTGTAATTAAAATAGAAGAATGGAAAAATGAAGGCTTGTTTATTTTTTTCCCACAAAAATAAACTCAGTGAGGTAAACAGCTGCATGCATTCTTAAATCATTAAGCTTTATATATATATATATAGAGAGAGAGAGAGAGGATCGAAATGTCCACTTACCGGAGCTGTCCGAATAAATTCCTTAGGAAATTCCAGAGGAGTCCCTTCTTTCTTCTCTCAAAGTCAGAAAACAGCAATGCTTTTCTTATTCCAAAAACAGGCCCGTGGTTGAACTGAAAGAGAGAAGAGACCAAACAGCCACAACAAATTCCATTAGAACCGGGAGCTCCCCCCACCACCACCACCCAAAAAGTGTTGACATAACATCTGTGAAGAGCAGCAAACAAAAAAAAGAGGCAACTCGTAATAAATTGGCGGAATGGACAGATGGTACCTGCTCTCTTTATCACTGTCGACAAAGACAATGAGAGCGGCAATAAGACGGGCAGAAAACTGAGAGAGAGCTGAGCTTTTCTTAGGAAACGCAGCCCCGGCGTGCTGTCAGATTATACCGGCGCACACACCACACACACACACACAGAGACACACACACACAAACTCTCACTGCTCCCGGCGACGGCTGGAGAGAGAGAGGGGAGGAAAGGAAGAGACCGGAGACGGCGGGGATGCTGCGCTCAGAGCTGCACTTCACTGCCCGGCCGCTTGAGGCCAGAGGAGCAGCTCACACCGGGATGTTTCCCACCGTGCCGAATTTAACAGTCCAATTGTCCTCCAGTGAGGTGCTGGAGGCAGATATGCTCATTAGGTTTTTTTTTTTTTTTAAACAATCTTAATATTGATGTTAAAAAATATCATCTGCCATCACTACTTATTTATCATTATCTGCACCTGGCAGCTTGCACATCGACAGCTCTAAATGGTAGCTCAATTACAGCCTTAAACCTCGACAGCCTGAATCATACAGTGGTGGAATGTAACATATGTTAAAGTACTGAGCCTAAGTGCAAATTTTAGGGTACTTCTACTTTACTTGAGTATTTCTGTTTGATGCTACTTTATATCTGGACTTCTCCACGATTAAGGTGGACATAGTGCACTTTTTGCTGCACTATTTGACAGCTTCAGTTAGGCTACTCTACAATCAAGGTGTTATATAAAACATATCATGAGCTGCTACAGGTCAAACTCGGCAGTGCATAAAATAGGCTATTCAAAAATCCACTTCAACCAAAAACATCTTTAGAATCCTATTTGCACTTTAATGCATCAGTAATAATAATCTAATTATATAGGCCTAATATAAAATAATATAACACTCACAAAAAAGTTCACCTTTTCTGAATTATATTACTTTATGTACCTTTTGCTAATATTTAGCCTATTTAAAGGTTCTATATGTAACTTTCAGATGCCATGATGATAACTTAACAGCCTTAAAGGTCCAGCGTGTAACAATTACATGTTTTCATTAATGTCTAATCACCTGAATATATGACTTGTTATGTCTTTGTTATGTTAGAATGAGCCTTTTATATTTACAGAAGCCGCTGGTCGCCTTCCGTGGATTCCGCCATGTTTCTACTGTAGCCCTGAAGAGACAAACCAAACACTGACTCTAGATAGGGGGTGTTTTTTTGCACTTTTCACAGCCACCGTAGTTTCTCCTCACTAAATCCTACACACTGAACCTTTAAGTGCCTTTAAGTTAAGTCATCATCATGGCCTGTTAAGTGAACTGTAGTTCAGGGCGCTGTTGCTCACAACAAGATGCTACTTGACTACTTGCTTGTTAGTCAAGATAGTATTTTGCTAGCGATAAAGTTAGCAAGCAAGCAAGCTGAAGTTAGCGAGCCAACCAGCTGCAAACCAGCCCCACTGAATCATGTCCCGCAACACCCCCCCTGACATAGGAACCCTCAAACAGCAAGCCAATTTAGCTCGCTAACGATTCGTCCATGTAAGCAAGCAAGCTACTGTTAGCCAACTAAACCCACAATATCACAATATTTTTCACAAGCTTTACAGTAATGTTAGCTTTCACCTTTGTCTTTGTGTTGAACTCTGATGCTGTGTCTCAATTCGAATACTTTCATAATTACACTAATTATTTGGAGTACATAAGTGCGTTCACACTGTCGAGTGTGACAAAAAGCAGTGCACTGCAAGTATCCGGACGGTGCACTCATAACGGTCAAAAAGTGTGGAGCGCTGGACACTGACACTTAGTGGTCGCCATTTTCGCTACGTAGCAGAGAATCTGTAATTTCCACCTTGCAAGAAACAGGGGGCATACAGGCAATAAAAAGTAGCAGCAGGTTCATTTGATATTGTAAAGTATTCCAGTGAAAAATAAGCCAGTATTGGCACTAATGCTCTGTCTGGCTTTAAATCGGCGTAGAAGAAGCAGTTGATGCTGTAGAATGTTGCAATCATAAGTTTGCTTGATTTAGGACAACACTACGCTGCCAAAATTACCGCACAATGCAAGTAAGTAGGTAGTGTGCATAGTGTAGGCTACTGCGCCCACAGTCTTAAAGGGGGAGAGTTTCATAAGAGTGGGTAGGGAGGCTTGGTTGGTGACTAAAGCTGCCACCATATACGTCACCAGCCTTCATCTTAAAAAATTGTTTTGAGGGTTTAGTTACTCGCATATATGCATATATTTTACCAGACCAAATATTCTGTAGTCATATTTATAAAGTAAATTGGGTAAAAGAGGGGGAAAACTCTGATATTGGTTACTGTATGTCTGTGATAGTCGTACTGGTTTGAACATTTGGAGAGCTTCCTAAAAAGAGAGACTCTGGTTTGGAAGTTCACCTGAGGTGAAAATGAATGCAGTATAGGCATATTCACAGAGGACATTTTGACATGTCACAGTAGGGAAAGTGCATAAATAAAAAACAATTGGCTGAATTCCATTTAGCTGGTTGAGTTCCAGGTCCTGTGATTGTGTATGCTGGCTTACTGTCACACAGGGACACTTGAAAAGAATCATTATTATTGTTGATGTTATTAGTAACACCTGTGCTTTTTCTTACTTTAACAACTCATAATGTCTGCTGTGACAGTTTATGTTGGTTTTGTACAGTTTAAACAAACCAGATATAACATGTTTTTAGTGAGCTTCATGGGTGATGGGCCAGACTAGCTGTTTCACTTTGCTTCCTGTCTTTATGCTAAGCTAAGCTAACCAATTGGTGGCGGTAGTGTCATATATACGCATAGACAGGAGAGTGGTATCTCCCCATCGAATTGTCTGCAAGAAAGCAAGCATATTTTCCAAAATGTCACACTATTACTTTAATGTAATTACATGGCATTTACTTTAGTGCCACCCCCAGGCTAAATATTACAGTCTTGCTTTCTTGGTGGTATCTAGGACTAGTGGCAAAATGGTCTCTTCAGTATTCTTCCATTCAACCACTAGTATAAATACAGACTAGTCTTGTTAGTCTTTCACCTAAATACAAACTCAAGATGTCTTGTGGTTTATGTACCTAATTTGACGAAATGGCAGTGTAGTAGTGACCAACTGCTTATTTGTTGTCGGTGGCTCCAACTTATGTGTGGGTGACATTGTAAAATGATAAAGCTTTCTTTTTCCACATAAAATATTTTCAGGTAGGCTAGATAAACTCTCTTACAGCTTTAAAAGCTTGAAATATCCATCCAGGATATCACAGATTGGTTAGAAGTACTGTGTGAGGACTACCACTGTAGACAAATTCTCGGATGAAAGATAGGAGATAAGATAATATTTACTCGCTGATTGAAAATAGTAGCATTTATTGAACATTCATAAGTCATTACTATATTTCACAGACTCTGCAGATGATTCAGATTTGGGCCAGGTCAGGACTGTATTTGAGTCAGTTGAAAGATACATTTTGTGATGACTACTGTGAGCTCTTCCATTAATGTTGCACAGAGATCCATTTGTACCTATAATCGTGCCATTTTGGGGCAACCCTTGAGCTCAAGAGCAGCTGTCCAGTGAGAGACAGTCACTGTAGGGAAATGAGAAACTGATCACCAGGCAATGCTTTCCTTATGATAAACAAGATCATGGGGATAATACATGACTCACTGGCACAGCCACTGGCCTGGACTTCCTGACACATTCTCCATCCATCATCTTCTGTACAGCTGCCTAGAGGTTCTTTGAATTGGTCTTTCTTGGCTCAAGAGAACAGCTTCGCTGTTTCCAGTGCGGCTTTTACTGTGATCTTGTCGTGCGGAGGAGAAATATTACACCTTTCTTTAGTTTGTGTGAGTACTTTCTGTGTTACAGACTTAGCCTGCGATTCCAATACCATGGGTCAGGTGGCACTTAAAGGCTTGGATATTAACAAGAATTGGGGAAGTATCACCTGATAATTTTGCCTGTGTGACTGCCACATGTGAAAGACTTCTTAATGGAAATGTAGGCTGTCCAGGCCAATTCATGAGTGAATGCATTAGTAAAATCATTACTTTTTAAAAAAAAATTCTTAAATGCAGAAAATACATGAACCACTTTGGTCAAGCACAATAAATGTAAAAAAGGATGATAAGAAGACACCATTCTACCTACTGTAAGAATTTATAAAATAATATGCCAAACAGTAATGAGCAAGGCGAAGCACGTCACTGACATACAAAATATGAAATACTGGCACAGAAAAAATGACTGCACAGGTGTGTAATTGTGCTGGGGGGATGTGTGACTGTTTAGGATTGTCTTGGAGATGCAAGCAGGTGGAAGAGGTTTGTTCAGGAAAGATGCTGCAGAGATTCCATGTAGTCGAGGTGGCAGTTGACCTGTGCTGACTTTGAGAAGACAGTTTTGTGACGAGGACACTGCTGAGGTGTGTGGGGTCAGTACAAACCTTGCCAGCTTTTCTCATCTTTGATTGATGGTGGTTTACAGAAGGCACTTCCCAGCGACTCTGCTGTCTTACACACTGTCCTTCCTGTCGGGAGGCTGGTAACCTATAAACTGGTGTTTAAAGGAAAACCTAGCTGAGTTAACTTTCTGTGGAGCAATTTGTGTTGAGGAGGAGCTGACCCTCAAACATTATCCTGGAGTCAAGCTGTTTGGAGGAGTCTAGCTGTTTGAAGGCATTTTTTTTCATTATTGACTAAGCGGTGTGCCCTGTAAGCCAAATATAGAGGATATAAAAAGATGGTTACAAATTGTTTCAAACATGGGCCAGTTTCAGCCCTTTTTTTCCTCTTAGAAAACTGATTTAAGGGACTTTAAAGGTTACTGTCTGGACAGAGTTGTAGTACTTTCTCAGGCTGCTCGCTGACTGCATGGGTTGGGTTTGAACCTACAATAAAAAACAAACTGTTAAGTATTACTT